ACAAGGAAACGACATCAAAGACGCCATCATCGTTCGCCATGACCGTAGTCGGCGCGATTTTCATCGGCAGTTGCGCCACCAGGCGTACGGCGCCGGCCTCGCTGGTTCTTTCGACCGTAGCAAACTGCAAAACGACGCCCTGAAGAGGGGCTACGGCGCAAGAGCACCGCCATCGCTCGATCCCATGGAGATCTAGGGTTTCCCCCGGAGTTGCCCGGGTTGTCAAGGACCAGACAAAGATGTCGACATGTCGCACTCGCCATCGCGCCGACCGTGACCGGGAGACCAAGCTCACGCCTGAGCCTAGATCCGGTCGCGCCGCCGTCGTCCCTGGCGACCGTGGTGCCCCAGATCTTGAAGCCGCCTGCCATGGGGAATGGGATCGCCGGAGCGCCGCCAGCCCCCGTCGTGACGTCTGGCCGCACGCCACGCTCCGGCCCGGGGGCGCCGGCCCGCGCCAGCTCCTCACAAGCGGGAGGGCACCTAGTCCCCGCCGCCGCCGGCGACGGCAAGGCTTTGCCTGTGGCTGTTCGCGCCCTTGAGCGGCGGCGAGGGAGGAGGAGGACGAGAGGGGGAGTCGGGGGCGACGGGATCTGGGGGCCTCCCCCAGCCGCCGCACGGGGGCGACTTGGGAGGGACGGGACGGGGGCGGCAGCGAAAAGAAAAATCTAAAGACTCGAGAGATATCAGGTACCCGTCTGAACCCGGCCGGTCCATGCATCCTCATTTATCCATGGTGATTAACGCATCTCTGAATGCACCGAATCAGTACTTGCAGGCCAGGTAGAATTGTGCCGAGGAGAAGGAAAATGATACTACAAGGAAGAATGACTGTGGTGGAGGACAATTGGAGCACTACAGTCAAGGAGGTAAGTTGGTATTTGTAGTGAATGGGGTAGATTTTTTTAGAGTGAATGAGGTAGATGAGAAAGGCAGTTGGGACTTAGTGTCTAGCAGACCAGAGCTATGGCGGGCACTGAATGGTTTAAAATGTGCATCAAATGCACTCATAATTGCGACTTACAAAAAGATGACGAACAAACTTATGAAAATCCACACTGCAAATTCAAAAAGATCAAAGAAGGGAAAACTTGCTAAAGTGAAAAAAAATTTGTCATGACGAAAAATGAGCATGCTGGCCTGCCCACAAGTTAGCCATGCCAGCTTTTTCGTTGAGCGCAAATGATTTAAGGAGTGGGGAGGGAATCAAGGAGGCCAGTTTTCATCATACCGCTCGCTGTTCTCTGGCATGGGGAGTCGAGAAATCTATTTCGTTTCAGATTTATTTAAATCTTAAAAAATGTGATTTCCAAAATTTAGGACTCGATGGAGCCTTGATGTCAAGAATCCTCACTCGTAAAAGAACTACTTTTTAGGAAGTCAGTACTATCCCCTATGCTTCCATAACCCCCAAAATATTTTGGGGATGTCCACAAAAACACTTGACACCTGACACTTGCCCCTAAAATTGATCAGAATTTGCCTTTTCTCTGTCCCCTCCGGACCGGAGGGTTTTGGGGCGGGCCACCCACCCGAGCGCTCGGAAGAGAAGACTATCCCAAGGCACCTCAAACAAACAGGAACACGCCTCTATGGTAGAACCCGTCGGGGATGTTAGAAGGGAGAGAAAGGATTGATAGAATAGTTGTTGTATTGCTTGAGCCTCGTGGGCATATATATAGGAGTACAATGATCTACTTAAAGTACAAGATAAGTCAGAACAAATCCTAGTCTATCCCGTCTTTCCTAATAATCACGATACTCAACAGGGGAGGCCTGAGAGGCGGTGGTTCGAGGCTGGTGTTTGAAGGGGGGAGGCCTGAGAGGCGGTGGTTCGAGGCTGGTGCTTGAAGGGCGTCTGGACAATGCCTGTGTCAGGGTTATTGGAGGTGCCCTTTTCTTCCCAGGCTCGACCTTCATGCAGTACATCAATCTATGGAATGCACTTGCTGCCTTGGAGTATGGCCTGCAGCAGCAGGACACTTTCTCTTGGATGTGGAGTAAATCTGGTGCGTATTCTGGTAGTTCTACCTATATTATGCCGTGTCAGGGATCAACGCAGTCTGGAGCACCACGGCTTCGGAGAGCTTGGATGCCACTGAATTGCAAGATGTTCGTTTGGCTCGCCCCAAGCACCGAATATGGTCTGCAGGATAATACGATACCCTTCTTCCTCTGCCTGCAAGAACAAGACAATGCTGATCATATGCTCATCAAGTGTGTTTATGCAAGATATGTTTGGTGGGCATGCTCGTCGAGAGTCCGACTCGCTGTTCATGATCACTTGTTGGGGGCTACCGAAGCGCGCAATGCTCGGGTCTTCACAAATGTCACTCAGCAGGGCAACATGGCAACGAACGGGCGCTCTACTAGCTAGACTAATAGTGGCTGATTTCAAGATCGAAACTGCTGGGCGGCACGACAGCTGCACGATGCCCGATCCAGCCGCCTGGTCATATGCATGGACGAGCTGATCTGCACGTACTCGTGCAGAAATCATCCACAACGCATCGTGTTCGTGTCCATATCACTCTTTCCATGGAGGCTCACGGGAGTGACAATATGATTGAGAGAGTGCAGCTTCTTTGCAATTTTGATGCGGTGTTAGCCATAGCAATCAACCTGTGATCGCTTCTTGGACTACTTTGTAGAAACTTTCTCCTCTTCTATAAAAATATGGTACACTTAAGTCGTACTCTAAAAAAAACAGGAACAACCATGGAAAATGCACTCAAGGCCATCATCAGGCTAGACTCATTTTTTTGCGGGAGAGTAGAAGCATTTAGTTTCAACCCATACAAGGTCGGGATGCGATGACTCGACATGACGCAACCAGCACGAAACTGGAGTTGCAGCAGAATCTCAACCATGAAAAATGCACCTTTTTTTTGCGGGTGAATGAAAAATGCACTCGAGACCATCATCAGGCTAGAAGCATTTAGTTCATTGTTCAGCTCATACAAGGTCTGTTACCTACTACTCCTATCTAGCTTAAAAATCCTGCTACACCGAGACCGAGAGTGCGACGACTCTACATGCAACCAGCACGAAATTGCAGCAGTCTCCAGCATCAGAGAAGAAATTGCTTCTCTAGCAAACTGCAAAAGAAACAAACATATTTGACATGTCAGAATTTATACAGATAGATCAGAACTGTATACAAGGGCGTTTTCAGTACTGTAACTTCTGATCGAGTCTTAAGGGGGCTCAGTGAGGCAAGAGAGGCAGAACCTTTCTGCCAAGACCATCGGATTTAAGATAAACACTATCCTGACAGTTTTTACTTTATACGAGCGCATCTAAGATGTCGATTGATTAGTTTGGGCGTTTGCCCGCCGAGAAGTCCCAGAGTTCGTACATAAACCGCAATTTCCCGTGTATTTTCATGGTTAGGATAAGTAAAAAGCAACAAAATAAAGTGCCAGTTTCACATGTCAGGCTCGAAATCTCAAGCCAAAAGGAAATGGAAGAAACGACCAGTGCATTTCGTGAGAACATCCAACTCCAGTGCAAGAAACACAGTTATGTTTTCTCATAACTTGGAAGCGAGTGGGTTTGTAATTTTTATCCACAAAACTGAGCTTGGCCAATTATGAAATCGGTGCCTCGGCAAACGATAAAGAAATATTTAATTCAGGTATTCCGTAACCTAGGCAAACAACTATATAAGAACAATGTACCTGCCCAGATCAGTCATTGTATCAGAATTCAGAAGCACACAGCTTCATTAGTGTTTGTCCTCATCGTCAGAAGTTTTGTCATTTCCATAACCGGAATTTGCTCTAATTATGTAGACCTGCATCGTTTATACATAGAATAAGCCACATAATATGCACTTAGCAGTAAGATAAACTGACCCCCCATGATATGGCCTTAAAAGAATCCCTTCCATTAGATTAAACGAAGGCATCTGGTACTGATGTTGAGCAATCGTATCATTCCCTGCAAACTGTGTGCAAAAATTGACTAACAAAACATGGCCTAACTTCTTATCTTTCAACATGTAAACACAGCTCACAACATGGATATGGCATATAACCTGCTTTATGATCATGGATATGACATATATACAAAGAGCTGTTTTACGGTGATTGGGTTAGTACTCGGAGTACTTAGCAGTACTTACATGTCTGATCACGTCTGATTTTTATTAGCCGTCAGATCTTGCGGGGAATTTTAATTGATTAAATTTAATATGTTAATTGCGATAAGGGCATAATGGTCCAGGGTGAAATATCTTTTCTTGAACCGATCACCTGAGGACCAGATCCATGTCTACTCGATCCAGTTCAGAATCCTCCTCCGATCTATTCGTCGCCGCTCGCCGCTCCTGACCTTCTCCGTCCTCGACCTGCCCGGCGAGAGGAATAAATTCATCGTCCTCGTCCTCCACCCAACCAACCCCAGCCCCCCACGCCGTCACCGAAGAAGAAGAAGGCCGGATCTGCGCCGGCTGAATCGGCGGCGACCACGGCGGGCGATCCCATCTCTTCGCGCGTACCATCCTTAAGGTATGAATTCGGCTTGGCGTTTTGCTCGTTCTCTTGGCCGTTGCGCCCCTCCACCGCGCATGCAGTACAACCTCAACCCCACAAGATCCGGGTACGGACTAGAACAACGAATGGAAAGCTTCATCGTGGCATAGTTTCTCTTGAGCTAATCGCATCATGTTTGTTTAAGTAAGATGTTGACGTTTGAGATGAGATATACTAAAGGAAGATACTGGTTCCATAGTTCACTTAATTTAGTTTATTAAAGTCATCATCACTTTAGGTTTGCATAGCGCATGAAATATAGTTTAAAGGAAGATGAGATACTACTTGTTGGATGTTGATGATTGGTTTCCCTCACATGTCAAACCAGCAAAGTCTTTTCCATGCACTTGTCTTTGCCTATGAGCTATTTTACACCTGCAACATTGATAAACAGAAAGATGTTGATGATTGGTTTCCCTCACATGTCATATGCAGGAAGACATGGCGTATGCAAGTGATGAGAGTATGTTCGAGTATGTAAATGTTGTCAGCAAGATGTTTGATAGTGAGGCTGAAGGTTATGAATTCTACAACAAATATGCTCTTGAAAAAGGTTTTAGTGTGAGGAAAAGCTACGTTGAGTGGGACGGATCCAACAAATACATAATTTTAAGGAAAATTGTGTGTAGTCGTCAAGGTTTCGCGAAGATAAGCACATGAAAAGAAAGATGGAAGATAGAAAAAGGAGGCCACGAAGTTTAACTCGTGTTGGGTGTAATACTAAATTGGTCATTACGAGATAGAAGGAAACCGGTCGGTGGTTTGTCAAGGATTTCGTCGATGAGCACAGCCATCCTCTAGCCCCACAGGATCTTTCTTGTCTGTTGCGTTCGCACAGACGAATTAGCGATGAGCAGAAAGAGGACATTGCGGACATGGAAAAATGTGGGATCCGCAAATACCGTATTATGGATATTTTGTGCTTTCAATACGGTGGATTTGATAAGGTTGGATGCATAAAGAGGGACGTTTATAATTTCTGCCATGCTAATAAGCAGGAGACAATCAGTGCCGGTGATGCTAAAACGGTGATCATGCACATGATGGCGAGGCGAGAGCAAGATGTGGATTTTTTCTTCAAGTACTTGGTAGACGAGCATGGCCATCTGAAGGGACTGTTCTGGGCTGATAGTCAATCGCGACTTGACTACGAGGCTTTCGGAGACGTCATTGTTTTCGATAGCACATACAGAACCAACAAATACAATCTGCCATTCGTGCCTTTTGTCGGGTTGAATCACCACCGCAGCACTGTTATATTTGGCTGTGGTATAATTTCTCATAAAACAAGCCAGGCATACGAGTGGATGTTGCGGACCTTTTCTGATTGCATGGCACAGAAGCATCCGATATCTGTGATCACAGATGGGGACCTTGCAATGCAGAGAGCAATAAGGGTGGTCTGGCCAGACTCAAACCATAGACTATGTATATGGCACATTCAGCAGAACATTGTACGCCATCTACATGATGACGACGTAAAGGAGGAATTCAGATCTTTTATTTATGATACTTCTTCCATTGAAGAGCATGAGATAAAATGGTTACAATTCTTACAACGGAATAAAGTAACCAGTGAGGAGTCTTGGCTGCATCAGATGTATCAGATGAGAAAGTTGTGGTGTGCTCCATATCTTGAGGGGCGTTGTTTCCTAGGATTGAGCAGCAATCAGAGGAGTGAGAGCTTGAACTCTGTGCTACATACGCATCTTGAGGGTAAGATGTCGTTGTTTGAAATGCTAGAGCACTATGAGCGTTGCCTTGCGTCGCGACGGATTAACGAAGCTCTCCATGACGTCGAAGCCTTGCAGTCCGTTCCATTTACAGAGGAAAATGCTTCGCCGCTTGAGAAACACGCCGCAACAGTTTTCACACCTAGTGTCTTTAAGATGGTCTTATGGAGCATAGATGCTGTCAGCAAATGTCAGATTAGAGAGATACTAGATGGATCAGAAGATTCCACTTATGTTGTATCCAAGCAGGAAAGAATGGATAAAAAGTTTGGAGTGCGCATTGAAGAGCAAGGAGGTCTTTTGCATAGGGTGAGTTGTTCTTGCCGTAAGCTGGAATGCGCAGGCACACCATGTTCCCACATTTTTTACATATTGGGGATTTTAAAACAAACAATTCTGCCCGGTTGTTGCGTTCCCACTAGGTGGACTATGAATGCAAAATGTGCATACGCACCTACCAGAAAAAACCAGATGTATGACTATTCGGTAAGCCTGCAGAGGTACCGCGAGTTGCGAAATTGTAGTCACGCCGCAAGTTTCCAGGCATGCCACTTTGATGAGGACTATCACCGTCTAAAGCTGTTTTTGCAAGCACAACATCATGGCAAGCAATCAAGTTTTGAACAAGCTGACAGCAAGGAGTCAACTAATGCTCAGCATAACAGCATTAGGTTTGGCCCGTTGATGCCGCACTCGCAGAAAGTTGATAAGGTTCTAGATCCCGTGCATGTGCCAGGACGAGGTGCACCGAAGAAAAGGCAGCAGGCAAAGACAAAGAAGTCAAGATCACAGAATATCTGTGGCTATTGCAAGAAACCAGGTCACAATCGACGTAAATGCGCTAAATTGCTAGAGGTACGAAATATGTTCATATTTTTTTTGCATGTGTTTTACTCATAATTGATGTCCATGTGATTTATTGTATTCTTCTGTGTAGGATCTCGAGGCTGAACTGTGATATCTACATACAGCATGAACCAACGATGAGCCAGAGAAAGTCGTGTGCCATTCAGCTTTGTGTGACGTGGTCTTTATATTCTATTTCATCGTGACAGTAATTTAGTGAAGTGCGGTTGTACTACCATGTTACTGTATTAGTTCGACATCTTTCGTTTCCATTTTCTGTGCATATCATTTGATGTCCAACTTTAAGAATGATGATGTATTTCGACAAATTGGGCACTATGATTCTTCACCCTTACTATGGTTGTCATGCATATTCATAATCATCATGCATATTCTTTATTTACAGAGCAATAATGACTGACGAATTTTTTAAATAAGCGGGGCCCACTGGGGTGTGCTTGGAAATCTTTGAAAAACCTCCATGCACGTTCATCTTCGTTGCATGCAAATCGGGCGGCAGCCGCTGTGCTAGTAGCTGTCAAGGCCTTGATGAATCACTATTCACATGCAGGTCCCCGACTCTTGCATGCAGGTCCCTGACTCTTGCATGCAGGTCCCCTTGAGGCATAGACCGATGTTTTCAGCAGTCAGTCTAGAGGGCATTATAAATTCAAAAAAATTCAAAAAAATACAAAAACTTGGAAACCTAGTTTTGTTTGTGGAAGAGATCATGTGTGCCAAAGATGAGGTGATTTGGAGGTGGTCGAAAAAATGCACGCATTCATTTGGTCTAACTTAAGCCAGTTTTTGAAAAAAAACGTGAATTTTTCCACCACCTCCAAATCACCCAAATTCTCTTGTACATGGCCACCCACATGTGCAAAACATGTGTATGCAAGAAAATTTTGAAAAAAATTATTTTACAATGCCCCCTTGAGGCATAGACCGATGTTTTCAGCA